GCCCTCGCCCGAGGCCGCCGCCGCCATGTTTGTTATGGGCACTTGCCCTTACGGACCCCAAAAGAGAACTTGGGAGAAGGGGCGGGTTGCCTGTTCTCCGGACCTGCTCATCCCTTCCTCAGAGCTTAATGTTTCAGTGTGAGGAAAGAGTGAAGAAATAAAACGGAGTCACTGTGGTCAAACGGCTAAATTACTAAAATCAAACTAGGCTGAGGCATGAGGAAATGATTCTATGCTTGCTTTAATTACCCTGGGAACTTAAACTTTTGAACCTTTAAGTTGTGCAACAATGCCTGGAGATATGTATGGAAATCTGTAGATAACCCCCTGCAGACATTAGGGAAGAATGTTGAGTGTCCAGCCCAGCCGTGGGCAAACTACGGCCCACGGGCCGGATCCGGCCCGTTTGAAATGAATAAAACTAAAAAAAAAAAAGACCGTACCCTTTTATGTAATGATGTTTACTTTGAATTTATATTAGTTCACACAAACACTCCATCCATGCTTTTGTTCCGGCCCTTGAGTCAAAAAGTTTGCCCACCCCTGGTCCAGACCATCTGATATCTGTGTGATTCCCATCTCGGACCAATCCAGAGGCTAAGAGGACAGGACTGATTCTTCTCAAGAATGTACTTTTTACTGTAAGAACTCACAGCTTTTGTCTCTTACTCAGAACACTCTGGGTATTGCCTAGTTGTATTTCCCATTTGCAAATCCCAAAGATCATCAAATAAATCTTTATCATTTATGTCTAGCCAAAGCCTCCTGATTGGTTTACACTCAGACGACAAGTTTAAATCAACTCTCCTGTCCCTCCTCAGCATTAATTCAGAGAATGAGAGCTCAGCACCTTCCTGCAAGCCTTGTCTGCCTGGATGCACAGATGACACAGATAAGGAGATGGCAGTGGCACGACCTGGGACTCCCTAATGCTGGATCGGTTTGGCTCGGTGGATAGAGCGTCTGCCTGCAGACTGAAGGGTCCCGGGTTCGATTCCGGTCAAGGGCATGTACCTTGGTTGCGGGCACATCCCCAGTAGGAGGTGTGCAGGAGGCAGCTGATTGATGTTTCTAACTCTCTATCCCTCTCCCTTCCTCTCTGTAAAAAATCAATAAAATATATTTTTTTAAAAAGAACTCTATGTGCATTCTCTTGTTGAGTCCTCACAACATTCTTTGGAGGCAGGTCCTATCATCACCATTTTACAGATTAAGAAACTGAGGTTCAAAGAGATTCACTGACATTCATACAATAAGCAAGAGGTCCAGACAAGCTGGATCCCAGAACAAGAGTCTGTTCTCTTCTTACCCCTGCAGGCCCTCAAAGTTTCCTTTTGCTCAGTCTAGTCTGGTGAGGATGCCCCTGTCTTCTCCCAGGTGGCTTGTCAGCCTGGTTAGGTTTCCAGGCGATCAAACAGCACACACCCAGGACCTGCTGTTTCCCTGGAAATAGGGCAACAAGCATGCCCTTCAGTGCTGTGGGACCTGGGCCCCTTCCCCTAGCTCTACTTCTTTGTTATGGGACCCTACTTTTGTAAGCCTCCATATTATGCCTTATGAGGATTTTGTGGGCATTAAATGAGAATCAGGGGCATACAAGTCTTACAAACTTTTGGTCCTTATGCCTTTGTTGATGGTTGTCAACAGGAATATCATTCTCTTCCTCCTTCCTGACAACCTGGTAAAGGGCCCGTCCACGGCAAATGGTCCAACACAAGAGCCCTGGCGTCCAAGGGCTAGAGTATGTTCAACCAGTCCTTGGGGAGTCCCCAGGGATCCCAGAGGCCTTGCCCTCAGAATTCATCTCCCACCAGCCTGTCTCATTTCCCTCCTTCCCCTTCAGACCCTATTCTTACCTCCTATGTCTCTCCTAAGCCACACACACACATCATTTCTCTTCTAGACTTCAAGCAATTGCAGCAACCCCTCCTGCTCCAGAAAGCCTCGTGACTAGAAGGAAGGTGGCCATTTCTCCCCACCCCTACCCTTACCTTCATCTATGCATTCCTGGCGGTGAGAATAGAGGACAAGAAACCCAACATTCAGCACAGAGCCTGGCACAGTAGGGCCTCCGTAAATGAACAAAAGAAGTGCCCCTGCCTTTCTATTTCTGGCCAGCATGTGCCGTCATTCAAAGCAAACCCCGAGTCTTTACTTAGCCCTCCCTGGGTGTCCAATTGGGGAACAAGGGAATGGGGAAGACTGCCAAAGGCCAGACTAATGTGAAATAATAGGAAAGACTTTGGCCCCTATGTTGCACTTGATGCCCCTGGTTACACTCTGAGCTTCCCAGCCATCTGGTTTTACAGTCAGTGTAACCAGTCATCCTTTAGTGTTGTCACCAGGGCTGGACCTTGTAATTATCTCCAATTTCCCTTCCTGGTTGCCAAGCACAGAGCTAACTAGGAGGGGACATGGGGTGTGACTGAGGCCATATTGCTTGCCTGACTTCTTGAATATCAGAGTTCCTGGATCCTGGTACAGATAGATACACAAACACTCTCGTTCCTTGAAATTCTCTCCTTCCTTGGCTTCCACCTTCTCTGACCCAGGTTCCCCTCCTACCTAACAATTTCTCAGTCTCCTTCACTTTTTCCCAGAGCTTTCTACAGCTGGAGGGAGGGTCCCCCAAGTTTCCATTTTCTTTTTTTTATTGCTTAAAGTATTACAGAGTATTACATATGTCTCCTTCTTCCCCCCCCCCTTCCATTTTCAACACTCTCTTTCTTTAAGAACTCTGTGTTTTTATTTTTTAATATATATATTATTTTTCCCCATCAACATTTATCACCCTGTACCCTCCTCCACCTTTACCCACACTCCTCTCCCCCCCCACCACCACAATCACCACACTATTGTCGGTGTCCATGAGCTCTCTCCCTCTCTTTTTCTCAATTCCTCCCCACAAGCTCCACCCAGAGCTGTCTGAGTCAACAGAAGGCGGAAGGAAATTATGATGGCCTGGCCACCCAGCAGCTGGGAGAGGGCACCAATTTTAATCATTCAGTGATTACTACCCACCCCACTGGGGAAGAAAAAGGTGGAGGGTAGTGACCTAAAGCAAGAGAGGACTGGAAGCAATCTTTCTGGCTTCCCCCAACTAGCTTCTGGGTTCAAATCACTGTGCTTCTTACCTACCGACTGTGAACCTGGGAAATGGCCTAACTTCTCTGAGTTTCTGGTTCCTTATCTATTAAATGATAATGATATCACCATGTTCTGCACACGATTATTAAGAACTAGAAGTTCTGCCTAGCCGGAGTGGCTCAGTGATTGAGCGTTGACCTATGAACCAGGAGGTCACGTTGGATTCCTGGTCAGGGCACATGCACTGCA